CTTCAAACCTTGCGAGTAGAAGGTTTTGATTATCTCCTNCAGCTTCGCCTTGAAGGACCACCACAGGTGCAAGAGGAGTCCCAGCAGAACCATAGTCCACAGGGCAATCACAGACAGCCACAGAGAAACAGATCTAAAGACAAATGTAGACATTGATGTATGAACCACATTGAATGAAAGAAACCATTTCCTAATATGTCCGAACAAAATACAAGCCACCCAAAGAAAAAACCAGCAGCAGCGTGAGGGTCATAAGCAACATATGTGGAGAACATCACCACCCACTAAGATAAAGAAAACCATAATCCAAATAAGAAAAACCAGNAAAGAGACAATGGAACTGCTTATGCTTAGTTTTGCTTTAGATCCTCGGGATAACTTTAAATCTTTCAATCCTGATCGCATTTGTTTACTTGCTCAGAAATTTTATGCAGCTGATTTTGATAGACAAGACATGCATCATTTAAAATGTCAACTGGATCATTATCAATTTGATGTGGTTCGCCATGAGAGGTTTCAAAATATGTCTACAATTTTAGAATAATNACAAACAGTGGGCCATAGGGAATGACACTAGTAGAGACAACTAGTTGGAAGACTCCAGTACTGAATAGTATGGAGATTTCTATAGGACGACTTGAATTTGAGGGAAGCCAATCTACACCATATAGTTTGTAGGATAAGATGGGTAACAAAATTAGGGTCCTTGAACTGGTTTCTAAATCTTCTATTATTCCTTTCCATCCACAAGTGGTAAACAATGGCAGCCAAGCAGATTCTGCATATCAGTTTCTTTATTGACTTGCCCTTCCAGTTAAGAGCAACCCAATTAACAAATTCATTCCAAGGCATAGGCTGCCATAACTCCCCAGCACGTGAGAGAGTAGTAGACCAAACACTACAGGAGTAAGAACAAGCAAAAAATAGGTGGGAATGGGATTCAGGAGAGGACCTGCAAAGAATACACCCAATACCCAAGTGAGCAGCGAAGTATTGTATACGGTCAAGGGTGCCGAGTCTGTTCCTAACAACAAGCCAAAGGATGAAACACATTTTAGGTATAGAACTTTCGAACCAGACAAGTTTATACCAGCAGACAGGGGAATTGCTTATTCTTATTTGATCCCAAGCAGATTTGGCACTAAATCCCATTCTGCCATTAGGGATCCACTTAACAGAGTCCTCAAGAGTGGGGTCGGGGAGATAGAAAGGTATTGAAATGGCCACTTCATGCGGGAGATTGGAATAAAGAGGCCAATGCCACTGGTCATTGAGAATAATACTGCTGACAGTTCCTCCAAATTGAATAGAGTCTCCTTAATACCATTCATACCAACATATAAATCTAGGGGTCCCAAAGGATGCCAATTATCATACTATAGCTTTGTAGTTTGACCATTACCAATCACATGCTTGATGAATGGCCTAGATGAGGACCTTAATTTGAGCAGGCATAGCCAGTTCCAGGAGCAAGTCTAGGAAACTTTAATTCTCTAGAAACTTCTGCCCCTTGAGTGCACTATATGTTATAGACATTGAAAAGGTGCATTACAACATAACTAAATAGTTTTCATCCAAAACGTATTAGGTAAAACCAACTTATTATTTGTTACTTTCGAAGAATTTGAAACTAACTCAATGATATCAAATTATGACTCAATGAGGTCAAATTTATGATGATTACTTTCTAAGAATTTGAAATCGGTTCTAACAAGTTGGGATTAATTCCTAGTTTTTTTGGATCAATATATACTAATTTAAGCCCATTATTAACTAAGTGATAATTGGACTTGTTTGAAAGGTGGCTCCACACCGGGGAATTGGGGATTATTAATGGAATTCAAATGATCTCTGGATTGATTAAAAAGTCATTTTAATTGGCTAGAATCCGTTATTCCCAATCTAACTGAAACTTTATGACACTTTTTCAAAAAATCGTTTAGCTATGATCTGNGTCATTTTAATTGGCTAGAATCCGTTATTCCCAATCTAACTGAAACTTTATGACACTTTTTCAAAAAATCGTTTAGCTATGATCTGATTAGATTGTGACTTTTGATACTATTTCATCACTGATTCATTTTGGTCTCCTTGAAAATGAAAATTTTCAGATATTTTGACCAGGAATTTTGATCCTTGGGTCAAGCATAGTTGCCTTTGTTTGGAAAATAAAAAAAGTACCAGATGACAAATGTTTGGATTCTTGTCAAATTGTGACTAGGGTTCCAAACAGTCCTTCAAACACAATGATCTAAGTGCTCAATTCATAATTTTTCAATTTTATTTTGAAAAGACTTGTCTAAAACTAATTTAATTCAAGCATTTGGTTTAGATTCAAAAAAAAATAAAAATGCAATGAGTTGTTTTTTTCAGGCTTGAGATCAACATAAAGCCATGGGAGTCATTGAAGAAAGAACTTGAAGAAGGCAACCATAAGACCAAGTGGGTGGAGAGAGAACCTTATGCTTATTGGAAAGGCAATGCTAGAGTTAGCCCAACCAGACAAGACCTCATGAACTTCAATATCATAGACAAACAGGACAGGAATGCTAGGTTATATACCTTGGTAATAACTCTACTCTGTGTAATTCTAGTTCCACTCGAGCATCGTTGGTTTAGTAGGCGAACAAGAGAAAAGACATAAATTTATGCCTCCTAATAGTTTAAGTTCCACTCGATGCATGTAATTTGCAAATAACTACATATATCCAAAACTTGAATTTATAATTTAATAAAAGAGGGGAGGACACCACTCAACACCGAAGGTGGTTTCAATGCCTAACAATAATGGCCAAAAACAAAAATGGCAAAAAGGAGATATATGGCTGANGAGGACACCACTCAACACCGAAGGTGGTTTCAATGCCTAACAATAATGGCCAAAAGCAAAAATGGCAAAAAGGAGATATATGGCTGAGAGAGGGAGAGAAAGAACGCGTGCATGGAGATTTTGTCTGTCAAAAGTTCAAGAATATGAAAGGACATCTAAGGCTAATGAAGAATTCAAGTATGTCCATTACTAAGAGAAGTGGTGATCTCGTCTTGTTTGCTGAGAGAGAGCAAGGTTCCAGACCACCTTTTTTAGCCAGACAGTGAGCGATCGTGTGCTTGAAACAATCTTGAAGGCCAAAAGGAAAAGTTCTAGCCAAACTAAGAGATGAGCTAGTCAAAATAAAGAAGTGACAAGTTTGTGGTGGCCATTTAGCATGTCTATACTATGATTGTCATCAATATTGTGGTTATGAACTTATTCTTAAGGAAAGTTAGCCTGCTTTTCGAAAATATATTGGAATAACATTGCTCAACTATACTTTTTTACCTCAAATTTATTTAGGTTGTCTCTTGTTCCATTGCATATGAAAGGCATGAGTTCCAATTTTTTGTGTTGACTCCGAGGTCCAAGAAACATCATGCAGTCATGCTATAAATTTGGCAAATTACAGAGAAGTTTAAAATGTTATTGATTTTATTAGATCAAAATTATTATTCAGTATGGTTCTTTAAGGTTATGATTGAAACTAGCATGTTGTGGATCAATTCTAATCGAGTTGATTAAGTCGTTACTGTAGATATAATATCGAAAAATAACATATAGTGATAATTAGAATTCTTGCAGGATTGGAATCACGAGTATCGAAAGGGGTTCAAGCATACCAATTTAGCCAGGCAATGCCTACATAGGTAAGCCATTATAACTCTCCCTCTCTCTCTCTCTCTCTCTCTCTCTCCATCATTGTTTAATTTTTGTTGGCTCAATTCATGCAAATACAAGATCTATGTTGAAGGAGTTGCATGGTCAGTGAGCGAAAAGTATATTCTTGCCTGTGATTCTATGACTCTGCTCTTAAATTCTCGTTCCTATGATTTCTTCAAAAGAAGTTTGCTACCTATGGTCCACTATTGGCCAATAAGCCAAAATGACAAGTGCCCATCAATTAAATTTGCAGTTGACGGGAGAAACACTCATCCAGAAAATGTGACTCGTCTATCTCTAACATGCATCTATATATGTTTGTATGTATGCAAGTGTGACAATCGACTTGTGTCGTTTTATTTTGAGTTCGTGTTGAGTATACGATTATCTTAATTCAACTTATATAATTAAACGTTTAGATATTTGTGTCGTGTGCCGGTCAATATGCAAAACCCGTGAACACCAAACACATGACCAAGATCATTTTTCTTGCTCAATTACTCCTACCATCCACTAAACTTTCATAAACCAAAAGTTCACTTGATATCTATGCTAGCAAAATAAANGGTGACTTGTCTATCTCTAACATGCATCTATATATGTTTGTATGTATGCAAGTGTGACAATCGACTTGTGTCATTTTATTTTGAGTTCGTGTTGAGTATACGATTATCTTAATTCAACTTATATAATTAAACGTTTAGATATTTCTGTCGTGTGCCGGTCAATATGCAAAACCCGTGAACCCCAAACACATGACCAAGATCATTTTTCTTGCTCAATTACTCCTACAATCCACTAAACTTTCATAAACCAAAAGTTCACTTGATATCTATGCTAGCAAAATAAAGAAAAAAAAATCATTTAATTCCCCAAGGATTTGTAAAATACTCTATCAAGAAATGAGAAAAAAAAAAATAGGCATTTCCTTTGAACAACACTAATTACACACCTTTGTCGTAACAAATTTGAATTATCTATTTGAAATTAATCTGACCCAATCTTATTCATCTTTGGGCTATGCCATTTTGGGATTAACCATCGAAATTGCTTACTTTAACCTATTAATTTTGTACAAAATAAACATATAGTGTTGAAAATTGTCAACNTAGGCATTTCCTTTGAACAACACTAATTACACACCTTTGTCGTAGCAAATTTGAATTATCTATTTTAAATTAATCTGACCCAATCTTATTCATCTTTGGGCTATGCCATTTTGGGATTGACCATCGAAATTGTTTACTTTAACCTATTAATTTTGTACAAAATAAACATATAGTGTTGAAAATTGTCAACCTCATGTATGTGCATGTTAAATCATGTGTGTTCTACTTAATTCTCTCTCTCTCTCTCTCTCTCTCTCTCTCTCTCCCTTCAACTCCATTGTGATTCAGGCACAAGAGATTGGAAAGGGAGATTGGAAAGGAAGGAAGCAAATTCATCCTAGAGGAGTTACAGATAGAGCATGTGTATGACTACATGTTCCACTTGTTGAATGAATATGCAAAGCTCTTGAAGTATAAACCAACTGTACCTCCAGGAGCTGTTGAAATCTGCTCAGATACAATGGCCTGCAAGGCCAAAGGATTAGATAGGGACTTCATGACACAATCCATGGTGAAGAACCCTTCCAATAAAAGAGCTTGCACTATGCCTCCTCCTTATAATGATTCTGATCTCAGAGATTTTCTTGAGAGAAAAGCAAATCTAACAGAGAAAGTGAAAATGTGGGAAGCAACTAGGAATTTCAGTGGCTTCCAGTTCTGATCAGATCAACTAAATAGATAAATGAATTTGGAATCCTCGCCCCATAACCTCTATGGGCAATTTTTCGTAGTTTGGGTGATGATGAATAGTAATTTGGACTTACAAAACAAATAAACTGCCATAGATACTGACGGTGATTTTTAGTGAAGTTGACGATTTGAGCAATACATATAATTTATTACGATTTGTTGCAAAATCCTGTAAATGTACTTCTTCAAATGGGATTTGACAAACATGCTATAGAATTAAGCACATCATACCATGTCATGGAACACCACTTTTCTTTTTCTAAATCATACCATGTACTAGCTCTATTACATTTGTGTGTTTCATTGAAGTTACTTGATGTGATCATGGGATCAAACACGTAATGAGTTGAACTGATGGTTATATTTTAAATGGACACAAGCAAAATTACAAACAAACTGTAAGTGATCAAGTGTTCAAATATAAAGATGCTTCTGAGGTAATACGTTGTATAAAATATCTGGAAAACCTGATTTATGTGGCTGAGCAGTGAGCGGTTTGTTTCCGAGCAATCATTTTTTTGCTTGGGATCAACCTTGCAGGAGATCCTCTTCCGGGTATCCTCGTTGGAAATTGAGATCCATTCGGTCCTCCTGCGGACTCAGCTGGGTTGTTTCATTTTTCATACAAACTTTTAATGTCGTGATCCTCAAGGTAAAGACTACCAAATCCTTAGGTCAATTGGTGTTGTAATCGTGCAACAATTATGATGAATTATAAGGAATCAAACAATTAAGAAAACAAGTGAAAATAACACAGAGATTTATGTGGTTCAGCAATGTACCTACATCCACAGGAGCTAGCGACCGTTTTTTTTTCTTATTCAAAGTAGGGTTACATCTTAAGTATTTATATAACCCTAATACGGACATATTTATAAAAATACCTCTGTACCATACCGTGGGGGCGTTGCTCCCGCACTCCCAACTAATCAGCATCCCCTTTATACAAATGCCGTCATGGGCTCCACTCTGACATCTGCCTCCTTGTCATTGTGCACACAGTAAATATGAGTCACACATACTTTAACGGTTGGAATAAGAATCTCCATGGTGTTAAGGGGTTTTCCGACACCACATACATTGTGAGAATACCCCTTGGTGCAACTACAATCTTTAGACATCATGCCCAACAGAAAAAGATATAGCTTCATTAAATGTCTTTAAAAGTCCACTTGCATTTCACAGTTGTAATTTGTTGTGGTTGTTAGTGATCTCCAAGTTGTTGTGCTTACGGTTCCGTTTTCCAACTTCTAGTAACCACTAATCACCAGGTTACATATTGTGCTGTCAACAAGTGAATTATGTTTTTGGCAAAATATCGTTGTGATAGTACTTAAGCTAATTGCATGGGTTGGTGGAGGGTGTTGGGAGGAGTAGATGAGGTGCATACCAAATTTTTGGCATTCCTTATGAAATTAATTGGATAAAGTTACTACTAATAAAAAATGTCTGTAATACTTGCAAAAAAAGACTTTATTGCTTGATAGTGACTCCACAACATCTGAAAAAATGGCCTTACTAGTTGCACCTCCTAGTCAAGTTTACTACACTTGGAAAAGCTCCCATAATCCATCATTAAAGCCTTCTTTGTTTTACAGCATTTCGTTGCGTTGATGTATATGCCCTTCGAAGCAAATCCTCACCCTTTAAAGCAACTCCTCAGCCTTCTTTATTTTTTTTTCTCCTTGTTTGAAGCTTTCATTTCTTTTGCAGGAAAGGGCAAAAGAATACAGTTCAACTTCCAAGACTTTTAAAGGAAGTCCCCATTTTGGAAACTAGTTTGTGAAACCTTTAAACTTAGAGGCCTTCTCACACGAGGGACAACGAGGTGAGATGTAGATTGTTCTAATTTACCTGATCTTCTATTCTTTATTCTGTAGTAATGGTCATTAGGACTACGTACACAATTGATGGTGGAAGAAAGCCTATACAAGTGATGAAGCTGACGTATAGAATCGAATTAATAATGAAGAAAAGGGGGAAAAAAAATCCACAACTGCTACTATTATACTATTTTTTTTGATAGGAACCAAATTTTTTTTTGATAGATACAGTAAAGTTTGATATTATCCATGCAAAAATGGACAAGTCGTCCGGTCCCATAATGTACAATATCAGAAGGAAAACAGTAAGAAAACAGTGACAACACTAAACCACAGGCCATCATCTAAGAACTCGCACTATCTTCCACACTAGACTATTCAACTTGAAGTGCTACAACTTGTGACTTTGCGGTTCTTGACGATACGAGTCAACAGCGAATGGGTAGAGGCCCACAGCGGTCATACATGCAGTACAGGTTCTAACAAAAGTTTCATTTTCTAGCAATGCCGTGGATTCCCAATGGCTNCCTTCCCTTCAATCTCTGTGCATACTTTAATTAAATTATTTGTTGCCGTTAAAGTCACTTTGAAACTGAAAATGGATTTTACTATTGTTTCTTTCTTATCACAAGTGACTCGGGGGCTTGCTTAGTTCCACATGTAGCTCCACAGCCTCTCCCTTAATAACTGCACAAAACTAGGCAAAGCCCATGGAGACATGATTAGCCATTGCTTTTATTATTGGTTGGGGCTTTTCACTTTAATTCTTGCTTCTTTTCCCTTGTTGGAAACACCTTCTATGACATAATCAATTGCGGTTACATTTGTAAAAGTAAAAACCCCACGGTTCCTTTCAATCTCTGTACATACTTTAATTAATTAAATTAAATTATTTGTTGCCGTTAAAGTCACTTTGAAGCTGAAAATGGATTTTACTATTGTTTCTTTCTTATCACAAGTGACTCGTGGGCTTGCTTGAGTTCCGCATGTAGCTTCACTGCCTCTCCCTTAATAACTGCACAAAACTAGGCAAAGCCCAGGGAGACATGATTAACCATTGCCTCTCCGTAATATTATTATGGGGGTTAATTTCACTTTACACCTAGAAAGATACTTCTATTTTTAAATTGAATCTTTAAGCATTAAAAATTTTAATTTATATACTCAACGTTATGAATTTTTAGTAATATGTATTTGATTTAGATTATCATTTAATTTTTTTTATCATAAATTAAAGCATGTGTGGCGGAAGTACTTCGAACATAAGGATGAGGTATGTCCACCGCTGCAGATTTTCATTTGCGAAATTTGACACTATTTTATGTATCAAAAATAAAATTTTATTAATCAAATAAAGATTAACTTTATCATGTGTAACTCACACAAGACGCCAATAGTATGTTAATTTATATATAAGCTTATACACGAAACACTTGTAATTCGTGTGTTTCAATTTACGACGAAAAAATAGAATAACAATTTAGGTGATGTTTACATTATTATCAATTTATAATATTAAGGGTGTAAATTGAAAATTGAAGCATCTTTTAGGGTGCAAAATAATAGTCCATGCTATCAGCTCAACCTCCCAATTGAAGGTTGAGGAGTTCAGTTTCGTTAGAGACACTGAGTTAGGGGTTGGTTAGGGAGCCTGGGTTTATTTTTTAGTTATTGGGTGTTTAGATTTATATCGATTACTTTGTCGAGCTCGATTATTGATTATTGTAGCTTGAGCGGGTTAATAATATATCTTATGAGTTTAAACTAATTTACGTGTACCTCAACATATAAGTAATTTTCCATTTAACATGCACCAATAAATTGCTGACATAAATAGCCGAGTCTAATTCTCACAAAACCAGAACTTAGTACCCAGCTGTCTCAACGAATTGTCAGAGATTCAAAGGAGCACCTAGGAATATTAAGTCCTCTCTCTCTCTCTCTCTCTCTCTCTCTCTCTATGTGTTATAGCATTTAAAAAAATTCCTCAGTTGAGCTTGTCCTCTCAGTGACCAGAGAAGCTGGTAAAATCATGAAAAAATACAACGAAAGATTAGCAAATATCTTCTGGCTCCGGCCTGCATTTCAGAAGAACTCTATGGGAAGCAGATGGCGATCATTGATGAAGAAGAAATCCACGACGACAACTAGTGTTCTTCTGCTGTTGTTCTTCCTCTTTCTTGCCATATTACTTGTTGCTCGCTGGTTTGACCTTGTAAGTCTCTATACAACCCTCTATAACATAAACTCCATGCATTCTTCGCTCCCTTCTTTTCTTTTTGTCTTTCTCATTTCATTTTCTTCTGCCTGTACTAGCGATATCCCGTAGAATACACTGCAAGATGGCATAATAAAGAAAAACAATGAAATTCTAATCATTTTCTTATCTTGAAGTAGCAATTTTAGAAATTTTAATCCTTTTTCCTGGGCTCCAAGCATTGTTTTTTCTTATTTTGAAAAGTCGTATGGCTAACTACAGTACCACACATACAGCAAGTCTAGAAAAGATAAGTGATAGACAATGACCTCATTTTAGAGGGGGGTAATTCTCGGATTTTTTTCCCCATAATTTTGCGTCTCGAACAAAGCTAAACCAAGTTCATGCATGGCCAAGTTTTTCTATAAAATCTTGCATCAAAACACAATCTTTAACGGTCAAATACTTTGTATCTATGCATTGCTTTAAACCATTGTAGGGTCTTTGAAATCAAATACCTATCCTTTTTTTTTTTTTTTTTTTTTTTTTTTAGAGATGAAAATACATGCTCTCAAAATAGTATGACAAATAATAATAATACATTAGTGTTACACTGATAAAAAAAAAAAAAAGGGACCAAATGATATGATATTACAATGGTGAGTGTAGCGTTACTCATAATAGTTAGGATTTGTAATTAATTTAGTTTTTGTTAAGTGTTCCTACATTAATTTTTTATACTTAGTTAATAATTTTGAGTAGATTCCCTTTAATGGGATATCTACTCTCATTAAAATTTCAAATTCTCTTTTTTTGGTCAATATCTACTCTACAAATCCAAACTATATATAGAAGGTTCAAAAGTAATTGCTCTCTGTGTGATGTGTGTGTCATTGTCATTTGTGTGTTAAAGTTTAAATAGACATTCCATGATTTAGTTATTGAATATTT